AAAAAAAAAAAATGAGCCTGTTGCAATTTATTCCCTCCAAGGCATTCACCGGGAAGGCCCCTGGAGCATTACATTAGCCTAATATTCAAGTTACTCATTCAAACAACAGTCCATCCAAGAAAGCCCCCTGCAGAGCCCGTACTATTACTCAGTGCAAAGAACTGCATTGTCTTCCTAAACATCTAATTTAGAATGAACTTAAATGAGCTCTTATCTGCAGCACATCTTATAGAGCCGCCAACATTACCCTGAAGCTGCACCAGGATACAATACAAAGTTAGGGTCCTGTGAACTGCAAAGGAGTGAGACAAACTCAATGTGCCCATAAGAGCTTGGAAATTAAACACACTTCACGTAATTGTTCTACAATTTCTTTAACTGTTAGCTAATGTTAGCATTTACAAGGGAAACCAGTAACTTAAGCAAAAATCCTCCTTTTTTTTTTTTAATTTTTTTTTCAACGTTTATTTATTTTTGGGACAGAGAGAGACAGAGCATGAACAGGGGAGGGGCAGAGAGAGAGAGGGAGACACAGAATCGGAAACAGGCTCCAGGCTCTGAGCCATCAGCCCAGAGCCCGACGCGGGGCTCGAACTCACGGACCGCGAGATCGTGACCTGGCTGAAGTCGGACGCTTAACCGACTGCGCCACCCAGGCGCCCAAAAATCCTCCTTTTTTAAATATATAAATACTACTTTTCCTTGGTTTGAACTGATTTTCCCCCTTTCCCCTAACTTGTGCTGTTATTTGGGGTTTCCAAATATAATAGTGCTTCTGACCATTCTTAATTGCACCGTAATGGGTGTTAAGCACAGGAGTGTGTGCAAACAGACTCCACTTTTCTAGTCTTTGACTGTTCCTTGCCTCTGGCCTCTGTCAGAGAGGCTTGCTAACTACATCTCAGGGGAGCAATCACATAGCTTGACTCAGCCTGTGGCTCTGACTATTGGGACTTCCTGAAGTCACAACCACTTTGGCGTCCAGAACTGGGGCACAGCGTGTCTACTCTTCACAAAATCCAGAGATTGCAAGTGTGAAACGTGAGAGCTGATTAGGGATGCACCTTAAATGGTATCAAGGGAGCCAGTTAGCAATGCAAAATATGAGATAATATAAACATAACACTCACTGCCAGTTGATCACTTATGTGAGCGCCACGAAAAGCAAAACACAACAGAAAAAAAAATTGAAGGTGAGCAACAAATAGATTTCTTCGAAGATAGTTTTGAATAAAAGTTCAATTTCATGGGAAAAAATGCATAATAAAATGATGTGGAATGATGTGCCAGAAAAAAATTGATATGTCTATTTGTCTTTCTGGAACTTGGCTCTGTATTAATCATTGCTAATGGGTATATCTAGTCCTTTTAATACATACACTCTTCCTTTCTTGCGTGTTATTGATTGAGAGAATTTGAAGTTAGAAGATGCAATTATTTTGGCTGTCTTTAAACTTCTGTGACTACAATAGAATGATTCCATTTTCTCTCTTAAAAAGCCAGAGTAATTTTGATTCAGGAATTTCTTTTTTAATTATCAGTTTTTAAGGAACATAGCATCATGCTTCGCAGAAGGGCCCTTTCTTTCTCAGTATTCTGGTGTAGCTACTCTCCTGTCAGCCTAGGCTTTCAGAGAGAGGAGAAAAAAATCTTCATAAAAGCTTTGGCCTAATTAACAAGAATGAACTAGATTTTATGATGAACAATTTATAGGCAGTTAATAGAGCTCATACACGGTAGCCAGGAGCTAGATAATTTATCATAAAAGGAATTTCAGTTACACTCCTAATCCCCATTCTCTTGATATTGCAACCAACTGCATTTACAATTGCCACTTTTATAAGCTTTGATTTACTGACAAATGATGCTGCATTTTATAGAGTCATAATGAAACTTACAAATGCAGTAAATACTTGTATCTCTGCCCATATGCTTCAAATAGCTTGCCAAACAATTTACTCTTCTACATTGTTATCTCTAGATGAAAATAATTTTTCAAAGATCTCCTAAGGATTCTTCATACTAGCACAAATAAAAATAAAAGTAATAGCAAATTGTTTATTAACCATCCTAAGTATTTGTTGAAAAGAAACTGATTTATCCACATTTTAAAAGGACTTCTATAATGAGTTATGGATGATAAATACTTCTCAAAATTATAAATAAGATGAAATAGCAAATATCCAAACATAATTTTTTAAAGGGCAGAATTTAAGGTAGGTGAGACCCAGGAGATCATACTGTCTCTTATCACTTGGTGTCTTATTGCTGTTCCTATTTCAGTTTATTTTATTTTTTAATGTTTATTTACTTATTTTGGGAGCGACAGAGAAGAGAGAGAGAGAGAGCACAAGCGGGGAAAGGAGAGAGAGATTGGATCCTGAGCAGGCTCTGTGATTTCAGCCCCAGGCTCAATCCATGAGTGGAGAGATCATGACCTGAGCCAAAATCGTCAGATACTTAACCAACTGAGCTACCCAGGCACCCCTCTGTTCCTATTTTAAAGTTATAACAAAATATGGCAACACATTGTGGGGACAGAACTGGGTGACTGTACATACCATCATATCAGCTTCATATTCTTTATCCAGTGATCTCTAGAGGAGCTCTTGAAGTCCTCAAATTAGGTAGCACTTCCTTCAGAAAGTCTCCCCTGACCACGGGCATCCCTTCTATATACCTTCTTACCATCCTATTCTTCCTCTTGTCACAAAAACAAATACAACTGCATTGCAACTGACTGATTAGCGTTCATATCCCCCATTGACCATGAGCTCTAGAACAGTAAGGACCACCATATTCCAACTCTGGAGTCAAAACAGTGTCTGGGACATAATGTATTTGTGAATGAATGATGTTCTTGGTTTCCAAGCCTGTTAACAAAAGTGAAAATAAATCATTCTAGTTGTATGATCCAGTAATAAATTTGGTCACTAAAATTAGCAGTGAACTAGTCTATATTTTAAAAAGTAGAACATTCAAAAGTCATGATTCTCTACTTCTTGCTCATGACCAGCATTATAAATATTCTTAAACATTATGCTCTATTTGGATCTTCCACATTTTAAAAGAGAAATGTTATAATAATAAAAAAGTGATCAAGAAAATAATAAAAATAAGAAATGACTAGAACAGAAATTCAGAGGAGAAGGTCAGGGAAAGATGACAGTTTGGCCTGAAACAGATGTGCTACATATTACATTAATCATGGTCTCTGGGGACAAAACGAAAGTGCTGCCTATTCCTTGGGGGGACAGAGCCATGGGCCATTGCAGAGTTGTTTAGTCCCCATAAGTAACCAATTCTTGATGTAACGGGCTATGAGATATCAGATTATATGCCTACAGGTCCACTCAACAGACTATTTTTTTCTAGTGATTTGGGATTTAGTGCTGCCTGCCAAACCACCAGTTTTTGTCCAGCTGATCAAATTACAAGCAGGTTTACCATCAACTATTCCCCCATATCAAATATACCTCTCCTTCATCCACGGTTTCTTATCTCCTATCTAGAGTTTATGAAGTAGGTACCATTATTTTTTTCAAGGAAGATATTTTTCTAGGAAAATGATTGTTTTTCCTCTCAGATTCACCCCATCACCACAGAGAAGATGAGGCTCAAACAGCTGTCCCAGAAGGCAGGTCCCTGGCTGCCAAATCACCCACAAGAAGACAGCATCCCCAGCACATTCAGAATGGCTAGCAGGAGAATGCAGCTGGAAATATGCTAGTTTCCTCACACCTTTTCCAATTTATTCCCCATCTGTGGAAGTGTGGAGACCCAAGGCAGAACATGCTTCTAGCACTGTCTACTGAGGATGCCAGCCCAGCAGGGCCATGCCAGCCCATGACACCTATGAGATGTGGAACCAACAACTCTTTTGCCCTGAGTCAAAATAAAGCCTAAGAATGCTTTTATGGTTCCTAATATAAACTAAAAATAACAGAGGTGGTTAGTTCAGACCCAAGATTCACCTTGGAAATTGTTCCTAATTGTACATATCCCTCAAAGTGTCTTTTCTCCAAATGGAATTGGTCATTGACATGTGGATGTGCTCCTAATAGCAAAATAAAAATATTCCCTGCCTGAAGCATTATAATAAAGTTGTCTTTTTCCATTTCATTGTCTCAGAACATTTAATCAATTGACATGACATCTGGGGGCAGGTCAAAAGAAGCCATGACTATTAATTTATAATTGCAATAGTCATTAACTTATTGATGACATACTCTTATTACTTTAACTTATTTTTAACAGTTTTAGTTTTACTTTTTAAAATGTTTTTAAACTATACACTCACTTGGGATTCAGAGATGGAAACCTAGGCACTTTTTTATCCTGTGTTTGTTCCCCATTTTGAAAAAATCCAGCCCCAAGGAAAATTCTGAAGTGGACACATTTTGTCTGCAAAAAAGCTGGCCTCCCATTTAGGAGGGTTTCCTATCACCTACCTAAGATCATCTAAATTTTATATTAAATGAAATTTTGAAAGTATATTTAATTCTCCTAAGACAGAACTGGGTACATAGCAGAAGCCCCAAATTTATTAACTCCCTTCTTTTTCCAGCTCAGGAAAAGAATCCTTTATCAGTTATTTCCAAAAGTATGAGAATATCAATCAGTAATTGTCTTCTACCTGCAGTATTCTCTTCTCTAGTTATAAAATAAAAGACTTGTCTCCTTATTAAAGAAGGTGTATCTATGTGTGTGTGTGTGTGTGTGTGTGTGTGTGTGTGTGTGTGTTTGGATTAGGAGGGAGAGAAGGAAAAGTGGAATGAAAGAAATACAAATACTCCCTAGGATGCTGAATGGCACAAAGAAAGCCATCACCTTGCTCTGTCTACACATAAAACCAAATTCCCTGCCTTCTCCTTCCCCACTCCCTCCCCCACCTCCTACCCCTCACCACCTCTGACTCCTCAGACCAGCCTCCAGCTTGTCTTTATCTTTCTGAATTCACAACCCTATCTTAATTCTGGTCTTAAGCTTAGTACTTTACTGACAAGACAAGGCTTGTCCTAGGCAGACAGTGGGAAGTAGATAACCATTAAAAATGTTTAATTCCAAACATGGGAATGGAGAAGCTAAACCACTTTGGTAACAATTTTCCTCAGTAATGAATATCATGAGGAAAAGCATTCCTTAGTACAATGGTGTGTACATGACAAGTGGTTGGGTTCATTTACTAAACATGTTTTGCGTAAGTTGTGATTAATTATCTACATTTTTTCTGATATTGTTTCCATCATACTGTGAATTTTAGTCTTAAACAATGGCTGTGTTTCAAATATTTGAGAACATACCAGACAGGCATCCTCCACCCTATTACCAAAAATATTGTAAATACTAACTAACTTGGGAAATCCGCTATCCCCTATTTCTTCCTCACCAAGCTTATAAAATGTCCACAAATATATACATTTGCACACAAATTTTCTTGCTAAGCAGAAGTATACTCACAAAGCCATAGTCACCCTCTTATTTGTATGGGCAAAAAATCTTTACAGCAAGGACTAAATTGCAGGTACAGTTCGGGGCATCTTTGAATGGCACATCCTTTCTACAGAATGTGGGCCACTCATCTAGACATCCTAGTATTTTGACATAAGCCCTGTCAGACAGAAGGTTCTATGCTACCAGATACACTTCTTTTGAAAATGTCATCCAGGGTAGAAATTGATTTTCTGCCTCAAATACAGCTGCTGCTCTGAGAAACCCCCTATCCTATTAAAAGTGTCCCTGCTCCACCTCCAACTAGACATAAGCCACATGACGGAATTGACAGACTTGTAGGAATGCAAAATTCCCACTGATTCATTCATTCATTCATTCAACAACAAGTATATTTTCACTCAGTATACAAATCACTGTTGTAGATGCTTGGGAATATACAGTGAACAAGACAGGGAAGGTACCTGCTCTCATGGAACCACTTGCTATGATTTCAGGTAGTGTATTGTTATGTACAAATAATTTAAAACATGGTAATTTGCTAGAGAAAGACAATTTTGGATTGGACAGTCAAAGAAAACCTCTTCCAAGGCTCTGATATTTGAGCAAATCATACCAAATCAAAGTGAATAACCTGGTAGAAAGGACACAGGATTTGGACACAGAAGACTCAATTTCTAACTTTTTGTAGTCTTTAGGCCAGTTCCTGAAAGCCTTCTCCTTTTAGCATAGAATAGGAATCCCACTGGGAACAGTTCTCATCCTCCCTGAAAAGGTTGATATTGGTTCAACTTGATGAGCTTTTCCATTATGATATTTATATCATGACTCAAACCCACTACATTCACCTTTTTAAATATGAAGATTCTAAATCAATGGTTCTCAACCCTGGATACACAATAACTTGGAAACCTAACCCTGCTGGCATTGCTTTAGATGCTGAAGTCAATAATACAAGATGAGTCAGTATGAAGGACTTCTAGGTGCCATCCACAAGCAGCTGAGAGAAGGGGTTGGGGGTGAATTGGTGAATCCAGAGTCACTGGATGCTTCACTGCTTTATAGAAAAGCACCTGATATTAGTGAAAATCTCTGAAGCAATTCAACATGTTCAGAGCAGATTTATCCCTGGTGGTTTAGCATAAGATATCTGTATCAGGGGCAGAAAGAAAAAATCGCGGTCATATGATCAAGCAAGATTCGGATTGGAGGTGATGTATATGTTTGTGGTGTAACCACATCTTTTTTTTTTTCAAGTTTTACAACAGAAATCACACTCTTTTGAGGTTAAATACTGCCCTAGTCTCTTCAAAAGATTTCAAATTTCACACCTCCACCCACACATTAAGTTAGTAGTCCAAACCAGATGGAGGTTAGCACTTTAGGTTAGAATGACTGTCTGGCGGAAAGTCTTTACATGACTGCCCATAACTATTGCTTGTACCTTTAGGCCTATCAGCCCTTTGCTTGATTTCTGACATTAAACTGCATTTAAGCTATACCAAGTCTTACTCTGAGCTACACACAAAAATTTTCCACGCCATAACCATGTGGAGTGGCTCAAAAATAGTTTTTTGATAGGTCATTAGGAAGAACCAAGAAAGAATTCAAAGATGAGTCAGAGTGTTTTAATAAACAAATACATTCACAGGCCAGCACCTTTTCTCATGGTGCTCACATGTCCACCAAATGCTCATTTCTTTTTTTCTATTCACCCAAATTTTACCCAGTTTTCAAGGCTCAACTCTATCCTCTTCTTCTTTCTCCCTCTAACCTTCTAGAACTCATAATACATACATATATATATATATATATATTCCATTGATTTCCGTGTAATTGTTTCTGTATTTGATTTAACTGAAGTATGCATGTCCCCATAAGATGAAAGATATCTCTACAAGATAAAAAGTATGGTTTGTACTGGTGTCCCTCAATAGCTTCTCTGCAATTAGACTAGAATCAGGCACACAATGGGGACTTGGAAGATGGGCAACAAATGAAACTCCTCTTGGAGAAGTTGCATAGGGCTATGGGATTAGCGCTTGACCTGAATCATGTGTTCAGAAAGAAGCAGAAGAATGGACTCAGTAAGCAATGTTCCTGGCTAGAAACCAGTAGCTTTGGACACAGGAGGGAAGATCTCAAAATCTGAAAGCAGGACCAGATTGGAAAGTTAGTTCAGTGAGACCTCTATAAAATGGGCTTGCAGAATTCCAAGAAGAATAAACACAATATGTGTAAAGCAGCTATACAGTGAGTATAGCTCACTGTATATAGTAGTAGGTGCTTGGCAAATAATAGCTAATATTATGATGGCCCAACATTATTTGGAAAAAAAAAAAGACTTGAGAGATGAGATATAAAAAATGAAACAAAAATGAAGAGATGAGATATAAAATATACAGGCAAAATTAAAATCTAT